CCAGCCCAACACTGGTCTTCAAGCTGCCCAGCTGCATTTCAGAATCAGATCGATATCAGCAGATATAGCTCCTTAAAAAAAATCAGCCATCGGTATCGGCCAAAAAAAATCTCTATTGGTGCACCCCTAAATTTTATTCTTTGACTGTTTAATGTAAAATTTGTAAGCAGTTCTTAGAGAAAAGAATCACATTCTCTTTCTGTGGCCCAACAACAGGGTTGCTAACCCAATAATTTTTTTTTTATTGATAATGTGCAAACTTCTTACTGACAACCAAATGTTTTAAAAAATTTTTACTGATATATGTTTTATATAATGAAAATGTGACCCTTCTGCCAGACTCTGGGTGGCAGTGACAGGGGCAGGATTCAAATTTAGGAGTTCAACACCAGCCCCAGGGGCAGGGCTATGCCTCCCATAGCAAAACCTCCAGTGGGGGCTATTCTTCCACCCCCTCTCCCTCTCCAGCACTATGCACTATGGGGCATGAGGCTGCTTAGGGCTTCTAGGGCCAGGCAGAACTGCCCCTGCCATGGCAAAGACTCCTGGGGAGAGGTGCATACTGGCAACCCCTTATAGTCAGTGCCTAGTTACACTACTGCCCCCAAGCCTTACACCTACTGGCTCCACTCCTGTCTAGGCACAGACCCCCACCCACTGCCTCTTCCTCTCCTTGCCTGCAGCTTAGCCCTGACCATACTGCCCCTCTCCCTTTATCTTCAAGGCAAGCAGCTGTTAGAGGCAGAGGACAGGAAAGGGACCCAGCAGCGACACACGGCTGGGCGGGGTGGGGTCTACCAAGGCTCCCACGGGCCATAAAGCCCTGACAAGACTTCCCTAAAGGGTGCTGTGCTTCTGCTCAGATATTATGTGGTTCTTCCATACTCCATCTTCTTTCAACTCTGCCTCCCCTTAAAGATGTGGTAGCTTCATGTTTTTACAGAAGGCAACTTTTTTTGTTGTTTTTTTAAATGGACAAGCATTTTTACGGTGTTATTTTATGGTGTACCTGTAAATTTACAGACAATTGCCAACCCTGTGCCAGCAACTCAAGTTCTTTCATGTAAGGTGGAGTAGTTTCAGCAGGTGACAATGAGATCTGTGCCCCCTTCCCAATAGCCAAGAGCCTGGTGGGTAGGGAACTCTCAAAGGAAGTAGAAGACATGGGCCTCAGTCACCTCAGCCAGAAAGAATTGAACTTCCTTGTTAAGTGCTCTGGCCCCTGAGTTATTGCCTAAATCAATAACAGTGCTTCCTCTGAATCCGATTTGAAGGAACAAAGTAGCCACCATTGAGTTTTGTGCAGAGCCCAATCTGAGAAGCTTGCTTTGAGAGCACCTCCTGGACTGAGCCCCTCAAACAAGATAGAAGGAAGGGCGCCATGTTTCTGGTACCCACAACCCTCCTTAGAGCTGCCCTGAGCATGCTGTCAGGCTGTCTGCTTTGTGCATGCTTCCCAATGCATGCTCAGACCTGCTCTGAAGTGGTTTCACTGGGCCTTGGTATAAGATGAGCAGCAGCTCTCGGCCAGGGCCTGCTTCTCAGCATGGCTCATGGACACAGCCCAGACACAGGGTAGATAAGCTTAGACTCCTTTAAAATAAGCACGTGCAGGAATGACAGTGACTCCACTGCCCCTGTACGTTCTGTTAGTTTGCATCTGCCACTTCCAGACATCTTACTTAATGCTCCTCTGAGCCCTAGAATGGTCAGCTAGGACTGACCAGTAGGCCTGTGTGAAGTGGCTAGTATTTGGTTCGGATTCAGATTCAGCCGATTCAGGGGACAGTGATTTGATTTGGTGATTCAAATCGCTGTCCCGATTTGATTCAGCCAAATCTGATTTGGAGATTTGACTGCTGCTGAATCTCTGAACCAGCCAGCCCAGGCCAGGCCCATCCCCTGCCCCTCTCCCAGCCCAGCAATGGCTGCCCCAGCTCCCAGCACTTGGGGAAAAAAAGCCTTGGCTCAGCGGGTGCTACCGGACAGGGGGGGGGGGCGATCCCCGCTGCTCCTCCCATGCTGCATTGGGGGGGGCTCTGCATGAGCCCCCCCCGCATCTCCCCCCTCACTCCCCCCGTCCCCCCCCACAGCGCACGGCC